CACCAGCACCACCACCAACATCACCACCAGCAGCAGCACCAGCAGCAGCAGCAGCAGCAACAACAACAATGACTACGATGACGCTGGCGACGACAACAACGATTGGGGCGACAGCGACGCAGCACAGGCGACACAGCCCACCACTGAGGTCACGCTGGGTGAGGATGAGCAGGACGCCATCCACCATCTCGAGCAGAACGGCGCCAACACGCCTGCGGTCGACATTGTCAAGACCATGACAAAGACCTTCTCGTACTCGGCGGCAGTGCAGCAAGCGTGCTGCGCGGCACTGGCGAAGCAGGCGCAGGCCAGCGAGGCAAAGCGCGCAGCGGGGGCTGCTGCCGGTGCCGTTGACGCCCTGCTGAGTGCAATGAGGCGCCACGCAGGCAGCGCAAGGGTGCAGGCGCAGGCGTGCTGCGCGCTGCAGAAGCTGGCCTTGAACAGCGGTAGCACCGTGTGCGAGATTGTTGGCAAGGGCGGCATTGATGTTGTCCTGAGGGCCATGCAGGCCAAGCGCAAGGCCAAAGAAGTGCAACAGCAAGGATGCCATGTGCTGGCGCTCATCGCCTCAGAAAACGCCGTCAATAAGCGGACAATTGCAGTGCTGGGAGGCGTTGGCGTGCTGCTGCGTGTCATGAGGAAGTGCACGTTGGCAAACGTGCGAGAGCGCGCGTGCGCTGCGCTGATGCAGCTGTCCCTCCACGACGGCAACCAACAGTGCATCGCAGACGAGGGCGGAATTGATGTCGTGATGCGCGTAATGCTCGACCACAAGCCTGATGCGGACATACAGCGATGGGGGTGGCGCGTGCTGGGAGAGGTGGCAACTTCCAGCCCTGACAGTGCCCAGACTATCGCAAACACCGCGTGCCGTGGGGCTCTCCTCTTGTGTGCAATCGGCACCAACTGTGCGGATGCCAGGCACTGTGCTGCCGCTTTGCGTGCGCTGACGCAGGTGGTGCAACGTATCGGCAACGAACCACTGCTGCGTACCTTCTGCAGCGACAACATGATGGGGCTTCTGCTACGGGCGATGGGCGTGCACGGCGACAACGCCGACGTGTACGCCTACGGGTGCATGCTGCTGGCAGCGTTGGCAGAGGGTGACGACAAGCACGACAAGATGCAGGTCACAATTACGCGAAACGGTGGGGTCGATGTCATTCTGAGTGCGATGAAGAGCCACAGCAGCAACGCAGAGGTGGTGGAGAACGCTCTCGGTGCACTCAACTCGTTGTGCTTCGACGCCCACAGTGCGACTGCCGTCGCAAGCAAGGGCGGAACTGAGGCTGTCTTGGAGGCGATGAAGCAATACAGATGTGAGCAACCTGTGCAGGAGCAGGGGTGCTCTGTGCTATCAAGGATAGCGAACCACAACAACATCAGCTTCGCCACAACCCAGCATGCTGCCGACGCTGTGCTGGCGGCGATGCACGTGTTCATTGACGATGGCGCAGTGCAGGCCCAGGCGTGCAGCACCCTGACCGCGTTGGCGAGGGACAACGCGATTGCAGCGACAGTTGCAGGCAAAGGTGCAGTTGCTTGTGTGGTGCTGGCCATGCAACGCCACAGCACAGACCCAGAGGTGCAGACACCGGCGTGCGAGGCGTTGTGGAGCATGGCATATGACAGCAAGGCCATCAAGAAGAAGGTTGCAACAGCGGGCGGCATGGATACCGTGGTGGCTGCCATGAAGACGCACAGGAACAACGAAAAAGTGGTGTGGACTTCGTGTTCTGCAGTGGCTGCTTTGTGCGAGGGCGCCACCTCCACCACGCGCGCCCTGGCGAAGAGCGGAGCAGTCGCCGCCGTGTTGGCCGCAATGGTGGCTCTCAGCGTCAGCGTCAATGTGCAGAAGCGGGCATGCGAAACGCTTGTGCTCCTCTCTGCATATTGGGTATGCAGGAAGGAGGCCTTTGCGCAGGGCGGTGTTGATGTGGTGCTGGATGCAATGAAGAGGTTCGCCAACAACGGAGACATGCAGGGGCGCGGGTGCGAGGCGCTGGGTGCGCTGGCCGGCAACTCCTACGAGAGGCGCACGATTGCAGACAAGGGCGGCATCGACGTGGCGCTGGCTGCAATGCGAACACACAAGAGCGACCGGCACGTTCAGAGCGAGGCGTGCGTGATGATGGGCGCCATTGCCACCGACCGCGCTGTTGCGCAGCGCATTCAAGCGAGCGAGTTTCCGCAGCTTTGTTACGACGCGTACACCACGTTGGATGGCTTGTCGTTTGATAAGCACGATCTCCGCGCCAAGGGCATCTTCTAGACCCCGTGTGTCTGTGTCTGTCTGTGTGGAGGGGGGGGGTTATGGTTGCGGTTTGATGATGAACATGTTGATGCGCAACTTTCTTCAACCCTGTTTGCTTCTTTGTGGTGTAACTGTTATGACTGTACATGCATGGGTTAGTGCGTGTTGTGTGTTGATCACTGTTGGCTGCTGTTATGATGGCTTGCGTTGGCGCAAGCTCGAGTGCATACACACATGTGGGTTGTG